AACCGAGCTGTGCAGGAAGACATCCATGTTTGCCCCCTTGACTGAAAGAGAACAGGCACAGCTGTCTCTGTATATGACCTAGTGCACTCACAGGAAGACTGGCATTTGTTCCACTGAGAAGAGAGAAAGCTGAGTGTTCAGTTGTGGGGAAGCCTGTGTGAATTGCACCAAATTTCTCACATTTAAAGAATCTTAGTGGTGTGTTTGTGATTCTTAGGTCTTGCTTAGGTTCCGGCATTTGTTCCACTGAGAAGAGAGAAAGCTGACTGTTCAGTTGTCGGGAAGCCTGTATGAATTGCCCCAAATTTCTCACATTTAAAGAATCTTAGTGGTGTGTTGTGATTCTTAGGTCTTGCTTAGGTTCCTTCCTTCCTTCCTTCCTTCCTTCCTTCCTTCCTTCCAGAATTATAGTAAATGCTTATCCAGGTGAATTATGATCCCACGTACCTTGGGCCCTGCATTAACCAATGGGGTTGTTTGTTCTTTCCAAAATATTTCAATAAATAAATAAGGGCAGATTTAAACTAAAACCCTATCTGTCACGCACCCGTCTGTTAGCCGATGATGAGGCCACCGTGTGTAATTAAACAATCATTTATATTCTGCGCGAGCATGTGCCAAACAATAAAGTACTCTCGAGAGCCTCGTGCTGCTGAGGCATTTAATCCATGCACAGAAGGAGTTTGCTGCAAAGCTCCTCGGGCAGAATGGGGCTTGTCCTCGTGGAGCAGGACGGGGAGGGGAGTTTATATTCTTCAATAATTTGATAACGCGGTGGAATAATTTCAAAAGCTAATAAGGATGCTGCTGCATTTCCTGGACCAAGTCCACATTCTGTTGGCTTGCCTTTCACATACTTTGCCGGGGTGAGATGATGTGGGGTTGGAATGTGTTTATATGGTACTCTCGTACTTCAGGGTGGCATAGCTGGCTTTCATGCTCCACATACTGTCTCACAATCACCCTGAGAGGTAGGTCATGCTGAGACAGTGTGACTGGCACAGTGGCACCTGGTTTTTCTTAGTCCCCATCTCTATAACCACTACACCATGCTGCCTCTCCCAATGTAATACAGTAAGACAGACTGGATGTTTCTGTGTGTGTACTTGTATATGTGTGTCAGACAGGGCAGGGAAAGAGACGCAGGGAGAGAGAGGGTGGGTAGAGCATACTTTGAAAAGTTACTTTTGGACTACTATTCCCAGAATCCCCCAGCTAGCATGACCATCAGTATTCTGGATATTCCTTCTAAGTTCTCATACACACACATGCATGCAATTCTACAAAATGGGAGGGGATGGGAAGGAGAAATAATGGGAAGACATTAGCAAATGTTATTTACCATGTATTTTCATGGACTACAGCCCACTGCATGATGCAACATTTTTCACGAATCTGGACATATTAAATCTCTTGGAGAATGTCTCCAAATAATCGAAATCTGCCTTTTGCATTGGCTGAACCATTTTAATGCATTGCTTTTATATTAAAATAGAGATTAAATATTTTAATTAAATATTAAAATATTTAATAATAATTAAAATAATTATTATATTAAACAATAATGATATAGTTTAGGTATACTTTAATGTTATATTATATTAACAATATATACATAGTGGCTGAAATGAAGAGAGTTACAGCAGTCCACCAGACTGGGGAAAGCTGTATAGTGTTATTCTATTCTATTCTATTCTATTCTATTCTATTCTATGTGAAATTGCTATTTGGACTGTGGCTTGGAGTGAACAGAGCAGCTTTGAAGAAAGAGGAAGGACAGCTACTTCCAAAATCTAGCTAAATACTATGTGAAGAAACATTTCCATTCCTTTGTCCTGAATCTCCCACATTTCCACTCCAGTTCTAGAATTATCAAATTGGAAGGAATGCTGCCCACTTTCTCCATTCATTTTTTAAAAAACCTCTACCACTTTCTCCAGCTCTTTTGTTTAGTCGTTAAGTCATGACAAACTCTTCGCGACCCCATGGACCAGAGCATGCCAGGCCCTCCTGTCTTCCACTGCTTCCCGGAGTTGGGTCAAATTCATGTCTCCAGCTCTACAATAATATTTTTGCAGTATAGTAACAAAAAGTCAAGCTCATTACATTATGGAACAATACTCATTTTGCATGTGGGAGGTTCCAGTTTTCAATCCCTGACAATTCTCATGAAAAGACAGCAAGTGATGGTTCTATAGACTAATAAGCTGACCTCTTATTAAGTGGTTTTTAATTTTTTAAAGGATTCTCTTTGTCAACTCTTTGGCCCATTACCTCTGGGCCAAGCCCTTTTCTACAGAGATCACACAATTAAATGAAGGAATTCCCTGAGTGCTCAGAATCCCTGATTACCATAGCAGGAACTTTTCACACCCCCTACAGTTTGCAAATTAACTATTTTGTGATTGGTCAGGAGGTGTGCACAGGCTTTGTGAATGTGATCGTGTCTCCAGAATACTAATGAAATTCTAGGTTCTAAGATGAGCTACTTACAAACTATACACTGGATTCCAGGCATACTGAATTTATGGGGACATTTGAAGAGTATGGTGTTCTGGGCTCAACTCCTTTGGAATATAAAAATTTCTCTCATTTTTAATGCAGTAAACAAATGGACGCCATTGCAGAGCTGACGCACACCCAGACTACAGTGGGAAAACAGGGATCTGTCAGTCTCTTGAGTCTGGAATCAGGACTGTTAAGTTGCTAATCTAAACATCATCTTTCCTAATGAAGTCTGAAATAGAAATCATGTTTTTGTGGACTAATATTTCATTTGCCATGGTGGATCACAAATGAAAATTAAATTAGGTTTCTCTAAATGTGATATTTTGGAAAGGCAGAGTAATGACAGGCAGCCAATTAGAGTCCATGGAAGGGGTAATTTCATTGCTGTTGGCAAGCCGAATACCCAGTATAGGGAGCAAGAAATAAAATATAGTCTCTTTCCCTCATCCCTGTCAAGATTTCTGCCTTCTGTTCATCTCCAGTTATGCCAGTTTTTAATGATCATTCAAATTTCTTTGACCCGTCTGTTTTTGGAAACGGAAGCAGGAAAACCCAAGGAAAGGGGATTGGAAGTTGGGAGTTAGGATTTGGAAAAAGGAATCCTAACACTTTGCCTTAATAAGCCAGTGTGAGCTTCTCTGTCTCCCAAATTCTTTTTGGGGTGGGGGAGGAGCTCCCCTCAAAAACAGAATTGGGTAATAACTTTATTGAGACAACAAAATATCAAACAAGAGGAAGAGAAAAAGAAGAGACTTTCATATCTTTTCATCAGACAGGCCATTGCAATACTTGGGTGCAGGGAATGGAAGAAACAGAAAAATTCAAAATTCATCCTGGCCAGACGTTCTAGATATGGGAGAAAGAGCTACTTCAGTTCCAAAACACAAACTGCAACCTTGGAGTTGCATCTTGAACTGTGGGGTTCTCAAGTTGCACCTCAACAGATTTAGAATGAATTACTTACTTCCATCTTGGTAAAAAGGAAGTTTACAAACACTCAGCAAATTGTCCAGTCTTTAACTTCAAAGTTGTTTTCAGCTGAATTTGCTTTAAAAATCCATACATTTTGTCATGTTCTTATCAAAAACAAAGACAAAAGCAATCCTCTCCCATCCCTAGTGGTCTGGTGGCATCAATTGGATGGCCTTTTGAAGGCTATGAAAGGTGTCCTAACCTTGTTAGGTGGCCATCTGTGGGAAGCCAGGACAAAACAGAAGTGCCCCTCGGCTATAAGGGAAGAGCTCCATTGGCAGGTGGGCTTGTCCAATGCAGAGGCATCTGGTATGCCCACTGAAAGTTATGTGGGCATAAACCTATTGCAGTGCTTGTCCATGAAGCCTGTTTGATACTCCACCTGAACATGCCATTATACAGTTACAGTATTAACTGAAAAGTGTCCATGGAGGTAAGCATGAGGTGGCAATTCTACTCATTGATCCTTTGAAGAGGTGGTTGTTAATCGGGGATGTCTGAGTTGTGAATTTCCTAATTGCCAAAAGGTTGGCCTGTTGACCCTTGGAGTGTGCTTCAGCCTCACAAAATCTAAGAAGTCTGCGAATCTCTGAAGTGCTGTCTTTTCAACAGTGGCACCTATTAACTGAAAGACTTGTCACAGACATGATTACCAGGCAGTCATGCCTCTTCTTGTATTAACATGCATATGACCTTGCATTTCCCTGTTGGGTGTTACTGTTTGTTTTTTCTTTTAGTTTTTTTCTTTTTCTAATATTTCCCAAAAGTTTTGATTGCATTTTTGGTTAAAAATTTGTTTGGGCTGCCTTGAAGAATCAAGAAGGGACAGAGATTTCAAATGGATAAATACAACTCACACCACAGTAGTCAAATTAGACATTAGATTATCTGATTTTGCTGTCTACAGCAAGACTTCCTCACAGATTCATACGACGGTAGACTTGAACATGGATTCGTGTTTGTCTACCACTGTCCAACGATAAAGCAAAACAGGCAGGTAGGGAAGGGAAGGAGGTGAGGAAAACCATCTACTCTGAGAGACAGCTTTCCCTACTTGAGGAGCACTTCTTCCAGAGATGTTGGCAAGTCTTTGGTACCAAGTCTTGAGCCCCAAGGCCCAAGTTCAAGTCCCTACTAACAACTAGCTTTTTTCCCTAGAAAAATGGGAGGGTGGATGGATTCTGAGTCACAACTTGAGTCCGAGTTATTGAAAAAAAAAAACCTTGTCAAGTCCTACCCGAGTCAACGGTGTAACATATGTCTGACTTGACAGCGAGTCCTATGACTCGAGTGCCCAACCCTGACTTCTGAAAAGGCTAAGAGTATCATCTAGTATGAATTCAAAAGATTGAGTGTCGCTTACACATTCCTTCAAGCCATCCATGTGTCTCTTGTCTATATGTGTCTCCTCAAATATTTCTTCTAAGTAATTCGTTTTCCGTACGGCAGGCAAATTATTGTTCCTGCAACTCTAACTGTTATTCGTTCTTCTATCTCCCCACCCCCTCTTCTTTCTCCAGGAACCTTCTGCATCATTTCACTGTGCACATGTGTGGCTGGAATCAACTTTGAGCTGTCCCGATACCCTCGATACCTGTACGGACTTCCCGATGACATCAGCCACGGCTACGGCTGGTCCATGTTTTGTGCTTGGGGGGGCCTGGGGCTCACTTTGATCTCCGGCTTCTTCTGCACCTTGGCCCCCTCTGTTCAACCTGTCCCCAGGACCAACTGCCCTAAATCGAGACCTGAAAATGGGACAGTGTGCTAAAACAAATGCAAACAAACCTATAAATATACATATTATAAATATATATATATAAATATATACATAAAACATATATTATATATAGATCTCAAACAGATGCCAGTGCCAAGGTAGAGTGGAGTCCAACGTGGCGCCTACATCTTCTCTACAGACTTTGTTATTGCTCTTGTTCTTTCTCCTGGAGGTGGGAATAGCTTTGCTGCAACACCGCTCTTCCATCTAGTTCTTTAAAAATTTTCAGCATCCCAGTTCAAAAAGTCAAGTGAACATATTGTTGCGTCTGTCTACTGCCAGTTGTGGGGGAGGGAACGTGCTAGGGATGGGGAAAAGGGAAGTATTTTGGTGTATGTGGTACCGAGTCTGTACAGGAAGCTGAAACAAAAAAACACAACCTTGTCTGCTACAAATCGGGGAAATACAAAACGAAAAATAAAACAGTTGAGTTACCTCTCTAAAATGTAGCCTCTTCAGCACCATCTTCAGAAACCCTCCTCCTAATACTCTCTCATAAAAACAACACACAAATCATTTCCTGTTATTTTGAGTTGCCAACAAAAGGGAATAGAACATCAAGAAAAGTGTCCCTTTATTTGCTAAACTTTAAGTGGGTGGAATCAAGAATCCCATGGAATAAAACTGAAAATGAGGACACTTTAAGGGATGCTGTTTTTGAACTTCCATCTGCCTTACTGAGGAGGCTGAACTGCTGACAGAAATGCAGAAGAGAGCCTTGCTGAAATGCTGTGATATATGTGTCTATAACCTCTCCTTCCTTCTTCCCCTTGTTTATTTTTTTGAAGAAAAGAAATTCAAATATTACTGTGTGATCATCCACCAGACCATCTCCACAGTGTTTGTGACTGAAGGCATCAAGACTTGCAGGATATCTGAGGAAAAGTTTTTGTTCTGAGACAGCAAGTCTCATTGGCTAGATTTTGGTCTGCACAGGTGGTTTCTCTCCCCACAAGAATCAGCAGGAAATGGCACATCTTAGGTACAAAGCATTGTGGGATTGAGGGGCGATGGCCTTTCTGGCTAGTTGATGATGCAGAAGGAGTTTGGGCGGAGGGTTTTGTTGTTACTGTTACTGCTACTGTCATTTTATTAACTGTAGACAAGGGGTTAAAAGCCATTGCAGAGAACTGGGGAGCTCTGAATTGAGTGTCACTGATGAGGACAAGACACGGTGCCTCTTGTTACATCCATGTACACCAGAATAAGACATCTTATACTTGTCATCAGAAGTTGCTCTTTATCCTCAGTTTTTCTCCCTGTGTTTGAGAGAAAACATCTCCATACACATGGAGCAGAAGGAGATAGAGGCAAAAAATTGAAAATCCATTTCCCGTAAATTCAGTCTTTATATGGCATGGTTGTGGCTGATTCAACAACTGAAACTATCTCTTCCTCTTTCTTTCTCACCTACCTTTTTTTTCTTTCTCTCTTTTAATTCTCGCTTCCTCCCTACTTCTCTCTATACCTAACCCTCCCAATCCATACTATTCATGCCAAAGATTCTGGGACAGATAATAGTGGGGATCCATTCTTGGGATGGATTTGTTTTTTTTTAAAAAAAGGGAGTATACATAAAGACTCATTTTACTATTCCTGTTCACCTAAAGTAGAAGGAACAGTAGAACGTCTGCCAATTTAAAAATAAATAATGATAGCAATGAGATGTGGTGTATATACCAGAATTTTCCAAGTATTTTGAATCTGTTAAGAAATATGGTGTCATCCCTCTGATGTCAACGTCCTCTAGTCCTACCTAGACATGCAGATAAATCATGCAGTACACAGTTTGTGGGACTATTCTAGTCTAGTGGCAAGTGGGGAAAGTGTCCAGTTTCTCCCTCACATCAAAACCACTTTTGGAGATCCATCAGAGTTTATCTCTGTTTTGTCCTGTATTTTTCAACAATAAGAAATTCTAGTCATCTGCCTCAGCCCATCCATCAAAGAAAACAGAATTATAGAAACGGCTTGGCAATAGGTCCCTTTGAACACAATTTTGCTACATCCTGACCTGCTTGTCACAAGGCCTCCTCCAGCCGTAATAACTTCAGAGAAGAGTCATAAGAAGCTGGATTTAAAGTGTAAAGCTGCACTTTCATCAGACAGATGTTGTGTTGGCAATAGGGGGTGTTGGAAGCCTTGACAACAAGATGTGAGATTTAGAATGTCTTCCATTTGGCTGAGCTGAATTATTTATCATTCTTGGGAGCCAAAAGGGAGTTCAAACACCTAATTTGAACCACTACTATTACAGAATTTGAACCACTACTTTTACAGAACAATTTCCATCACTTTAGTGTCTTTCCTTATGGATTTGTCATTGGATCATCTACAAATTTTCCGCTGTTTCTTCTGATACGAATAGTAAAAAGCAAGGGACTTTGAGGGTTTCTCTTGCCCCAGTGGCTTAAATTGCCATATTATAAAGAATCTAAATGTAGTATCTCGTATCTGGTGTGTGTGTGTGTGTGTGTGTGTGTGTGTGTGTAGTGTGTGCATACATACAGCCTATACACAGAGTTTGATTTTGCAGTCTAGACCATCCTGCAAAACCCTGTGCTTATAAAACAACAGTGCTCATTCACAGAGGCAGCAAAACGAATCCTTGATTTCCATCTAGCGAAATCAATACCTTTTTGTCTAACTATATTGGTGCAATTACACCATAGCTACATTTATGCATCAAAGTAGATGTCTTTGGCCTGAGACCAGGTATATATCTGACCCACCCCTCATTTACTCCAATTGAAACCTCATAAAATCTACAGACTTCAAGGAGTTAATATAGAGCTTGCCTGAATCATTTTCACTGTACAGTTCCCGCACGTCACACACACACACTGATGACGCAGTTTTGTTTTCCTTCTATTGTTGATCTTGTTCTTATTTGCACCCTTCCACTTTAAAGCAAGACACACAAGGAAGATAACAATCCACATCTTCAAAGCAATCCATACATGTAATTAAGTAAATCAAATGTAAGATAAAACCAATAGGACCTAGCAATGCAATCTTCTTAAACTCCTACAAAGCCTTTGTTCTTACTCTTTGGATCCTGGCCCTCCCCTAGGTCACAGTTAAAATAGGCTGCTCATTCCCAGTTGTTTGTGATGTCCAGGAGTGGTGAATTCTGTAACGTAGAAAATAACCATGGCTATAGATGCACATACACAGAGACAAACGAACACAAAGAAGACGAGCATAATGTACAATGTATTGGGATCATCTTGAGTATCATTCTTTGGCTGGTTATTCAAAATGCTAATATTATTAGAAGAAATTGCTGGAACGAAGCAGGAAACCCCCTCAAAGAAAAAAAAATAAGTAGCCAACCCCCTTGCTTCATTGTTGCCTTCAATTTTTGACTTGTAAATCTGTCACAAGCAACAGAAAAACTTGAAAGCTTCATTATCATCTTACTGATGTGCCATAGCAAATAGGCCTTGTCTGCTGTGCTCATAGCATAGGGGCATGTAGGTATGTCAACATCCCTATTCTGAAAGAAGTTCTGGGATTGTCCTTCCCTGTTGGCCTACTTCACTATATCAGTGCATGATATATAGCTATCCCTGTCCCTTCCATTTAGTTTGAAGCAGCCCCCATACACACACCTAATTATTTGCATCAGGATAGCTTCTATTCTTCCTGGAAACCCCTCCCCACTCCATGAAGTGTGAGCAACAAGATGCAAATTCCTTTGCACTACTTGCGTGCTTTCCGAAAAGGATTGCACTAGGTCTCCAACCAGTATTGTACTCTGCTAAAGGCCACCATGATAAGATACCAACTGACCAATTCAATGGGAGTCTTCCAAGTTAATTGGAATGTTGCAATGATGACCCTAGCTCAAAACAGTATATGTGTGTATTTATCTGTATATAGATGTACATATGTAAATTAGCAAAGAATGCCAATAGATTTTGTGGTTCCTTAGAATAGTCTGAAACTGATGCACAAATGTAATGCTGCTATTTGGCTAATATGTTTTGTAAGATGGATTTCCTGTTGATCTATTGGGGAAATATTCCAGAAAGTCAAAATGACCACCTTCTCTGCCTCATTTAAGATGCTGAGTGCAAGAAGGGGCAAATCACCTTGGGGTGAAAAAGCAAACTCCCAGACCTTTACTCTATTACAACCCTGGGATCATCTGATGAGCCTGACACTGCAGAGTGTAGTGAGCTGAAGATTTGTACCCTAAAACTGAGATCTTCACCGCAGACTTTCTCAGTGATGATGTCAGTTTTTCCATCATGTTTTATAATAATTTCAGAACTGCAGAGATAGAAGGGGCCCCTACAGATCACCAAGTTCAGCTCCAGGCAGGAAGGCACATTGAGGAACCAAACTCCCTAACCTCTTAATCTTAGAACTGCAGAGATAGAAGGGGCCCCTACGGATCACCAAGTTCAGCTCCAGGGAGGAAGGCACATTGGGGAACCAAATTCCCTAACCTATGGGTTCCACAGCCAGAATCCTGAACCACTCAGCTCTCCAACAGTCCCCCTCAAAGCATTTCAGGAAATGAGGGTGCTCAGAACTCATATGGAGATTCCCAGCACCTCTTACCAAAACTTGTTTTCAGTGTGCCTTGAGGAGAGAGAATGACTTTGAAACTATTTTACATCTGTTGTATAAATATGCCATAATTCTGTATTCCTGTGAGTGTCTTGGAGAACTACTCATCCCCAAGCTCCAGGGGTGTTGGTTTTCGGCGTGCATTATCCCCAACCACCAATCTGGGATCATGTGATAAAAATTTCCTCACCATTCTATAAGACGACACAAATGGCCGTATCACGATAAGGTTGCACCCAATGGTAAATTACTGTTTAGTAAGCAGTGTAGTTGTTTGTCTCCTGGACCAGCTTTCCTCAACCTGGTATCCTCCAGATATGTCAGGCTATGACTATAACATCATCCTCATCTAGCTCCAAATGATGGAAGATATAGCCAGACCCAACTGAAGTGTTGATTTTTTTTATTTATTTACTACAGCCTCTAGAATCCACATAGGACAGTCTAGGAGTTGCAGTCTGAAGATAAGATGTCTTTTGGACTAAGCGATATAGACAAAAGATTTATTGTTTGAAAATTGTCCCCATTATGACACGGGCATCAGAGCTTTCCAGAAACACCACTTGCCCTGAATGCCAATTTCATTGGGTGTGAATGAATTTAAAATAAATTCCATGGTTTTAATCTATACTTGACTGATTAATACTGACTGACCAATTAATGATTTCAGCAGGGACCAAATCCAGGAATACATATAATAATAACAGCTGCTTTCCCACCCTGTCCTGTCACTGATTTGGTGCTGATTGTAAATATTTGGTAGTTTTGCAGTCCATCTAAGGGGCCACCATCTTCTTAATGCTACTTGGCATCCGTTGGGTAGAGAGCCCAACTCGATGAAGTGTTCAGAGCTTAACTCCAGAGAAAATGTGAGAAGGGCACTGCAAAGATTCTCTTAGAGGTGTGGACTGCAAAACTGTCCAGGCTGAGTAGCAATCTCCCCACCTTCTTGCTGGGCAATCGGGTTGGGTGTCTACTGTCTGGGGAACAGGGGTATGTTGAGCTTGCAGAAAACAGAGGCACCAAGAGAAAACAGAGTGGGGCCTGAAAGCAGAGCTTGTAAAAGTTACTTTTTTGGATGGCAGATCCTAGAATTCCCCAGCCAACTCCCAGATTCTTGGAGTTCGCAGTCTAAAACAAGGTAACTTCTCTAATCTAGAATAGAACATTTCCCCTACAGAGTTCAACCCCAAAGTCTGAGTCCCTATGATACTCCTCTAATCTGGTTCCTTTTCTCCCACTCTGTCTCCCTTTATTTTCTCTCTCTCTTTCTCTCTCTTTCTCTTTCATGGAAATGTTTTGTATAAATAGGAAAGTTTCTGTTCCACGAACTCCATTTTCATATCAGCCCCTTCCATGTGTGAGTGTTTTCAGATCCAGATGCCTGTTAAAAAAAATAAAATTGTACAAATTTAAAATTGTGAACTGGAGGGGACGGGGAAGGGAGGGGTGGGATTTGATTGTCAAGTGAAGATGCAGCATCTGTCTTTCCTGTGGAATATTTTGACACCACCTCCTTGACATGGCCTCATGGGTGACCCTCCTTTGTCAGGGGTGGTGGGGGCGGCGGCAAGGGAGACCTAGAGCATCAGAACCTCTGTCGTTGTTCCTGTTTTTTCCGTAGATGTCACCGGTTTCTAAAGCAGACTGTTTGCATGTATTGCTGTCCAAGGAAAACAAAAACCCCCAAAAAAGTTTTTTTTAAAAAAAATAGCAACAACCCTGTCTCAGAAAGGCTTGTAAGGTCTCTGTGTCATAATAAAGTCAATGTCATAAAAGTTTATTGGGGAGAAAGTGAGGAGCGAGGTGAAATGGTTCTTTCCAACAAATTGTTTTACTATTCTGTTCCTAACAGCAGCTCCTGACATCTGTTCCTGTTGGGTTATCCTTCCTTGGCTGTACTGACCTTGGCCAAGATGGATGCTCGCCAAAAGGTTTATCTCCTGAGCAAGTGACCTTATGAGGCTGCCTGACTATGCAACAGCCAATAGGAGATACGCATTTAACCTGGTTTGATTGTCTTCTCCTTTATCAGAAGAAGATCTTTGCTCTTTTCAGGAGAGATGCAGCACAACCCCCATCGTTCTTAACAACAGAATGACGAATTCACACATTACAGGAATGGCATGGGGGATGGCCCTCTAGCCAGGGATCGGGAAAATTACTTAGAGGGACTATAACTTTCAGAATTCCCTGGACCTTGTGGCCTGGAGATTCTGGGAATTGCGATCCAAAAGGATAACTTTTTCATGCTTTGGTCCACCGTCTTATGCCATTGCAGTAATGAAAAAAATGCAGAAACAACAGACAAGGGGGAGCTGCAGGGGAAGAATTCCACAAACCCCATTCCCCAGTCTGGCCTTGCAATCCCCCCTTTGGATTTCATTCTTCCTACCCAAAGGTGACATTTGTGCATTAGTGGAGTGAAATAAGATGGAGCTACTGAGAAAGCATAGCCATCCTATCCCTATTACAATTCAGTTCTAAATCCCATTGAAACCCTAAGTATTGTATCCCTAGGAGAAAAGTAAAACTCCCAGGGTGTCCCACTACAGCAGTTTCCATAATAATTCTGAAATGCTACTTTTCTACTAACTGAGAGTTTGTTTTTAAATGTGCCAAGTGCAACACACTTGCATTCGCAAGCCCCCACACAACAGCCTGATGTGATATTTCCCCAAGAAAAGTGTTTCCACTTGATCTTCCTGAACTTGTATGTTTGGGTTTGTTCTTTTGGAGTATTCAGTAGCTCATCTAGCAGAGCAGAGCAGTGACCTAGCTTTTGTCTTGCTCCCTTCCTCTTGCACTACCAGTGCCCTATTGAACTAGAGGGCTATTTCATATGCCAAGGCAAGTCTTATCGACTGCCACAGCGATTGCAACATTTGTTAGGCATAGCAAAATGCAATTGTTTTTACAGAAACTTGCAGAAGCTAAGCAGTTTCCACAGAAATCTGGATCTGGCAATTTCTGTTCTATGGAACTGCAATCCAGTGCATGACCTTCATCATCTTTTCTGCTCCAAGTATTCCACTACAAGTGCTCCCTTCAAAATAATTTCCATAATCATCTGTCATGACTTGCTAATGCGAACTTATTTGTCCAGATTTGCATAATATATTCTCAAAAGCAGAATGTGAGATTTTGCATTTAGAATCCCCCCATTTATGATAGAATTTGGCATTTGTAATGAAATGTATGACAATATTCGCAGCTCTCACAGCTGAACAAGATTCTTCGGTCTTACTGTGGCACTAACAGCATTGCCCTTTCCAGTTCTGTTCCAAAATAAGTCCCCAAATACATGAGTCTTATTTTGGGAAAAGACATTCCAAATCTGGCACCGGTATACAAAAGCTGCAATTTCTGTATGTAGTTGCTGTAGTTTACCAAAGTAAGCCCCATCGGACTCAGTAGAGCTTAGTTCTGGGGAGACATACCTAGAGATAGGATTTCATCCTTATAGTCAAAACCAATTATTACTTTGAGTAGAGCCACTGAGTTAATAGGGCTTACTAGTCAATATCCTGTTTGGTAAGTTATGCCAATTATGGCTGATGATATAATTTTTCAGAAATAAAACATTTCCAACCCTCCTCACAGGCCCTAAGCTCCCGTGGAATCTCATTTGTTGTTGGTGAGTTTTTGGGCTGGGAGAGATAGAAGGAAGTCTTTAATTACCCAAAATTCCAGCCATTGGGAAAGTCATCTTGGTAGCACCAATTTTTGATAATTAAAGCCTTCACTACCATCTCATGTCTCCCAACAGCTTCCTGACAATGACAGAAATTTGACAGGAGCCTTGGAACATGGGGGTGAGGATGAAAAATGTTCTGTTTCCAGAAAATCTTTGCAGCTGATGACGTCATCAGCCTTAAGCGGTGTAACTTAACAGAGCAGGATTTCAGTCATTAAGCCAGTCTTACATAAGCCTTATTCTTTCAGGGGGAGTCTACTTTAGTTAAGACTTCAAGTCATTTGATCTTCACGGAATAAACATAACAGATGCAACTGGAGTTTTGAGTATGAAAAAGAGCTTGTGTATTTTTACAGAAAGACTAAACCTGAAATTTTTGGCAGGAAAAACAATTCTCAAAAGGCAATTAAAACAACATCAGGTGTTCTGTCAGAATGTGTTGGCACTACAATGCTAGAAAAATATGAATAAAACTGGATACCAGTTGTGTCTGCATCTTGGACTGGAACAGAGTGTCGCTGGGCACAAATGGAAAAGGACGGATCGGTGCTGATCTATACTTGGGATGGTGATGTCTATCTATGCATGGGTGGCAGAAATCATTTGCCATCTTTGTTTGGTGCTGCCAAAAGAACTAGGCAACATGTTTCTGTGACTGTGGTACAAAAGACTGTTGCTGCTTTCTCAGCTGCAATTTCTGATTACAAATATGTCAGGCTTAAAAGGCGTCTTGGTAGATGTGCAAAGTTCTTATCTTTGAGCACATGCAGAAGCAGAACTTGGAAAAGACTTTGACGTCACGTTCCAATGTCTGTACTTGCAGGAGGATTCTGGAAGCTGTGGTCTTTTCTAAGCTCTGTGTGGAAGCTCATAGCCTTTGCAGTAAAGTGAATGAGAAACAACAGAGTACCATTGATAAGATTAGACAGCCCAGATGGTGGATTTGTGGAAGATCTAGCTGTCAATGATGTGTAACCCTGCATAATTTCCCAGTCTTTAATTCTGCAATCCTGTGCATGCCCCCTGGGA